TTACTGGGATTGGGTCGAGTCCCATGTGACCCAAAGTCCTTGCTTTGGAGCTCACTCTTTTTTCTTTCTTCTTCTCCCCCCCCCCCTTTTTGGAGCTCACTCTTTAGCTTACTCCTGGGGGCTGTCCCCATCAGACAGGCCGGGTGAAGGCGGGGGGCCAGACAGCGCCGGGCGTGGCGGGAATCAGCAACGAGGACCCTCCCGGGGAACTTTTCCCATTGAAAATCTGTTCCCCTCGCGGCCACGGGTGATGTATGGCTGGAGCTGATGAGAAACGTGCGGCGGAATGGAGGCGGGCGGCGCGGCATTGAGATTCCGCGGGGCGCGGGGGGGCGGCGCAGGCCCTGACACGGGCCGGGTAATTGATCTGGAGGTGCCAATTTGCAGCAACTAAATATTTGGTTTCTGCCTCTGCCCGCTCCGCACTCTGCTCAAACAAACTTCAATTAAAAGCGAAAAGCGAGGGGTGGGGGTGGGGGCGGCGCGCCCGGGTCCCCGCGGCCCGATCGATGGCTGCGAGAGCGGCGCGCCGGGCGGGGGCACCGCGGACGCGGGCGGGGCGGGCGCCCTCTTCCGGATCGCCGAGCACCGGGCGCCCAGCCCGCGAGAGGCAGAGCCCAGAGGAGGGCCGGCGGAGGCGGTGCTTGGAGTGGGGAGCTGCGGATTAAGCAGCACCGCAGAGCTCGGGGAGCCCACTGCGTGCCAAGCGAGGGACACGAATTGGGCTAGCCTGGACATCCCACTCCGGACGTCCAAGCCTATGTGCTCGGGCAGGTGTCCCAGGGAAGGAGGGGCCCCAGGGTGCTGACCCCCTTCTCCCAGTGCTCCCACCAGAGGAACTTTGATGACGGCCTTGCCCTTCAACAGCATTCACAAGGCGTCTTTCCCGGCGCCGCTGCGTTGCTGGCGCGCTGGGCCCATCTCCTTTCCTATGTCTGCCTGTTTGTCTATCCTTGGGTTGGCCTAAGCGTTGAGGGTGAATCCAAGCCAGGCCCCACCCCTGGCGGGGTCTGAAGGAGAGGGTTGGGAATTGGGAGGAGCAGTGAGATCCTGGGGAAATGGGAAGGGGTTCTGGGGAGTTGGCTACAGCCTGGGGCAGGGGAAGGATCTTTGGTTGTCACAGTTGCCTCCTTTTGGGGTTCAAGACAAACACAGCAACAATAGTCATTCACTGGGCAAGTTATTCCACAGAAAAGTTTCTGTCCCTCAATGATCTTTCAGTTCTTTGGGGGAGAGACCCTAGTGCTGGGAGCTAATCAATCAAGGGTGTTGGGAAGCAGAGGGATCTTCCGGTCTGCGGGGTAGGGCAGCCTGGGGGTGGGGGGGCGGGAGTTAAGATTGTTCTGGGAACGATGTGATCAGGGATGGAGGTGGGGGTGGCAGAGGCACCCAGGTCAGCGTGGAAGGTAGCAGCGGGTTCAGATGGTTCGACAGTGGAGGGAGTTGGGGTCCTTCCATCTGAGCTTCTTGAGGGCCAGATGTGGGAGGTAAGGCAGAGGGGCTGAGAGGGGAGGGGAGGAAGCCCATGTCCCCTCCCATGTTTCTGTGCTCCATGTTCTGGAGCAGAAGAGTGGCTTCCAGATTTACCCCTTCACCAAGTGAGGCCCGTGCTGGTCCACTCGGCTGCAGGCTGTGGCCCCTTTCTTCCCCTCCTTCCCTTTAAACCCCCTTTCCTGGCCCCCCAGGATCCCCTTGGTTCCCAGTTGGGTGTGGTAACACAGGTGCTGCCTCTGTGCATGGATGGTTTCCAGGCACCCAGATGGCTCTGATGGGTCCTCTGGGCCAGGGAGGCCTGGGTGCCAACCCCATTCCCAAACACAGGGCTCTGGGAGAGATTGGTCTCACCATCCCCCCTCTGTCCCCCTTCTACTCCAAGCTGTTGCCTCACCTCCCGGGCCCTCCTCATGGGCCCTCAGTGCCCAGTTCACTCTCTTTGTGGCTTGGGACATGGGTTTCTTACAACAGAGGAGCTGGACCCAGAGCTTAATGTAAGGATGAGGAAGAGCCCCCTCCCTCCTGGACCGCCCTCATAAGCCACCCCCCCCCATCCACTCCTGCTCTCCCACCCCTCTAAGGGCTGCGGCACTCCTCAGCTGAAGCCAAACCGCTTCCCAGCCTGCAAGCCGGCTCTCTCCTGTTCTCTCCCTCCCTCCCTTCACTCCCCGGGCGCTGAGCTGTGGAGCAGAATGATTTCCTGTAATTGGCCAGCAATCCGGCTGCCCGACTTGTTCTATCGACATGCTGGTTAGCTGGAAATTGTATTGGAATCTGAGCGCTGGGGAGGCGAGGGTGGGGAGCCCAAGGAGGAGGCTCTTTGGGCCCCAGCTAGGTGCAGCCTCAGCTCTGTGGGTGACACAGAGGAGCCACGGCCACATCTCTTCCTAAAAGAGCGGGAAAGCAGCCCACAGGGCCTCACCACCCCTTTCATTTTCCTCCTCTTCTGCCATCGCTGTTGTGTGTGCGCGCGCGCGTGTCAGCGCGCTTGCCCCCTCACCTACGTGCCCCCCAGGCCCCAGGTCATCACTCCCCCCACCCCAGTTCCCTCTCCTGCCCGGGAGCTGGTTCCTCCTCACCTAAAGTGGGTTTGTTAGAACGAGGGGCACTTAAGCAGACCTAGCTGTCCCTCTGCCATCCAGTACCCAGCCGAGGAGGCTCATTATGGGGTGCCCCAAACCTCCCCCGCGCCCCTCCCTCCAACCTCCCCAAGGAAAGAAGGCTACTGGACATCTGAAGAGGACTTGATAGTAACTCCTAGACAAAGAGCCAAGGTGTAGTTAAAGGGGTCGTGAAGGTAGTAGGAGGGGCATGTGCTAGGAGTCCAGAAGCTTGGAGATTGTGCGCGTTGGTTCCTTGGGTCCGATGGCTCAACCATAAATTCTAGCCCTGCTTCCTTCACTCCTTCACCGAATTGTTAGATTTCAAGGAGATAACTGCGTGAATGTGCTTTGTAAACCGTAAATCTCTGCTAGTTACCCTAGGGCCAGCCCGAGCCAGGGGTGAGGGCGGTTTTAGGGGTCTTGTCTGTCCCCTTCGCCCCCACCTAGAGGCCATGCGCAGCCCTCACTGGTGTCTTTGTCGCTCCGCGGCGTGGGTAAGGCCCAGAGTCCGGGAACGGAGCGCGCGGCCCGAGCGCGCGGGCGGAGGCTGGGAGGCCAGGGTCTCAGGCCCGTCATCCTCGCGGGGGTGGCAGGGGACACATCCTTCCGCCCCGCGGCTCCAGGAGCCCGCGGCGCCCGCAGCTCCAGCAAAGAGGACTCGGCGAGCTACACCGCTTTTTAATTAGCGCCCGGGGTAAGGCTCCCGCCGCAGCCGCTCGGCGCGGGATCAGAGGCGCCCGCGGTCCGGGAGCGGAGGCGGGAGCGCGACCGGGGAAAGTTAGAAACTGCTTTGCAAACGCCCGCCGCGGAGCCCCAACCCCAACCCGGGCGGGTGCTGCCACCTGCCGGCCGGAAGGGAGGCCGCCCGCTCCGCGCGGGGCTGGGCTCCCGGTGGCCTGGCTCCCGCTGTCTCGGGGCTCCGGATCCCCAGGAACAACCAAACCGTGAAGTCGCGCCCCTGGGAAAGTAGGCCTTATTCTTCTTTTTTTTTTCTATGTTTTTAAAAAATGAGCTCTACGCCCCATGTGGGGCTTGAACTCACGGCTCAGAGTTTCATGCTCTACCAACTGAGCCAGCTAGGCGCCCCCAGTAGGCCTTCTAAGGCTGCCTTGGGCCACAAAGCCTGGGAAAGGGGAGCGGAGAGGAGGGATGTGGGATGTGGGGCAGAACCAGGGTACCAAAAGGCTGGCGTTTTCTGCACACCTTTCAATCTGGCCCATCCTCTGACATTTTTGCATTTTTGTGTCAGATTCAGCACGGGAGAAAATAATTCTTTGGAGCTTTACAGTTTGCAAAGGGTTTTTTCACTGTCCTCCATTTATTAAGTCCTTTGATAGAAGCATTATGAAACTAACTTGATAGAAGAAACTCTCGTCGGGAGATCACTTTAAGGAAGCAGAGGCGGTGGGGGTTAAGCAGTGACTCTTGATTTCAGTTCAGGTCATGCATGAGCTTATGGTTCATAAGATTGAGCCCATCGTTGGGCTCTGCTGCTGACAGCAGGGAGCCTGCTTCCGATTCTCTCTTGCTCTCAAAAAACAAAAACAAACAAAAAAATCCCCTAAAAACTAAATTAAAAAAAAAAAAAAAAAAAGGAGGCAGAGCCCAGATGCAGTCCCTAGGCTGAGAAATCTCAGGGGTGCAGCGGGCAGAGGTTCGGAGCCCAGCTCTGTGACCAGAATCAGACCCCTCCACTGCTCTGGGGCAGAGTGATCAGTTATCTGTTACCTATGGGGTGTTAAAAATCCAGCATGCCATCCAGAACATCACAGGCGTTCACAAGGAGTCATTTTCTCAACGACTGGGGGGTGACAGGGCTGTAAGGGGTCTGTGCCTTTTCTCCTTTTCCTCCTCTTGCCGGGTTCCACGGAACTGGGTCCTATCCCGCCCCACCACCCCCACCACCCCCACCACCCCCTCCCACACAGCCAGACACTGAGTCTTTCTTTGCCCCTTGGGGGTGTGCGGTGACTTAATGAGCTGGCCTCCGAGGTATAAGCAGCTCTGGGAAAGGGGGCACTAAATATGGCCACCATAGCATTTGCATTTGTCACACTCATTTGTGGCCTTAATAGGCTGCTGGCCGCGGGATCAGCACCTCAGCAGGTCTGCCAGCTCCAGCAAGAGAAAGCAGAGGTCTGCACTGGTCTAATTGGTCAGGGAAGGAAGATGAAGCAAGTGAGTGGGGATGCCGCCCCAGCGCCTCCACTCTCCTCATGTAGGACACGCCTGGGGTCCTCCTGGGGCCCCACGAGAAGTCAGAGGGCTACTGGAGAGGCGGAGAGGTGAAGGACCCAGGCCTCAGCATGGGAGGAGACCAAGCGTAACCCTAAATGGCATCAGCCACGTGTGGGAACCTCAGTCAGTCCACAGTGCTAGAGGAAAAACAACAGGGCAGGGCGCTTCAGATCAACACACTTTATTAAGCACCCATAGCAATTCAGCCTCTGCGCCGGAAACACAGAGATGAATGAGACGCAGTCCCTACCCTCTAACGGCTTACAGTCTAGTAGGAGAGACCAATCAGCTTTTGGCAGATTACGATTCTGTGGATTAAAGTAAAAAAACTTTACAGGCTCTCCCAGAGCCCCTGACCCAGCCTGGGGCTTCACATGGTGCTTGAGCTGGGAGTCATCCTGCTGCAGAGAAACAAAAGGTATTTTAGGTAAGGGAACAGCACAGAGAAGGCACGGAGGCAAGAAACAGCCTGGTGCGTGAGGACTACACGGAGTGGGTGGCAGACGGGTGGCAGATGGTGAGCCTGGGGGGGGGGCATGCTGGAGAAATGCCAGGATGGGGCAGTGCATCATCCCATGAGGGGCCTAGCATTACCCACAAGGGAGTCGTCACCGCATTCTGGCCGAGGGCTTCAACCTCAGGGAGAATCCTGTCTGAAGGTGGCGGCCCTTGGTCCAGAACTACTTCCCTGGTCTGCGGAGCAGGTTTAAGTCATGATGGGGCGTGTGCTTGGAGAGGGCTCAGGCCCCAGGGAACCTCCCAGCTTCAACAGTGCCGATGGCCCCAGACAGAGTGCCTCTCACCTGCACCCCCAAGAAATTTACACAGTTTCCTATGGTTGCTTTCATGGCCCATCGTGGATTCCATTCGGTAGGCGGTACAGCGGGAGGGGCCCGAGGGAAGGTGAGGAGGAGAATCTACTGACAGAGGGCTGTTTCTCTGCCTCAGAAGGGATGCACTCCAAAGAAGGGTTGGGCCGGTGCAGGGCTCAGCCCAGATTCAGAGGGCGTGCGTGCTGAGGGCTCCAGAGGAAGCAGGATGCCTTTGTTACCTGCTTCAGCCTCTGAGGGGATGGAGGCCTGGGGCCTCCTGCGCTGGGAGCGGCCGGCTAGGGGGAGGGCAGGAGGTAGCGGGTGAGCAGGTAGAGGAGGCTGGCGATGCCCGCTAGACCCGTCAGGACCCCCAGCCTCAGGGGCAGGTACTCGAGGGAGCGCTCCAGCTCGCCATGCAGGAGGACGACCTGGCGCTTGGTGAGGCTCCACTCCCCCGAGTTGTCTAGGACGTGGTGGGCCATGTGAACCTTGTCCTTCAGGGGCAGCTGGGCCTTGATCCGGGCCTCCGCGTCCTCGCGGTTCAGGCCGTTCCGCCGCATCAGCCGTGCCAGCTGTGTGTCCCGGTCACTAAGGACAGGGCGGGAGGGCTGCTCAGGCACTGTGGGCCCCAGCCTCCCTCCCGCTGGCGGGTGACAGGGACGGGCCACCCCTTCCCTCAAACCTCTTTCGGGTCCCCGGTCAGGGAGGGGTGCTGCCCCCACCTCACCCCACTCTGTGAGGACCCCCGGCAGTATGCCGGGCTGTCTGGACTCCTTCCCGGAAACAGGAGGGAGAAGGGCTGCGGCAGCTGTTCTCTGCCATCTGGGGTCTCGCTGCGTCGCCATGAGGCCTGAGATTTCCCAGTTATAAGATGGGAAGATCCGGTCATCTGGCATCAGCCACGTCCTGGATCCCTGGGTGGGTGACCTTTACTGAAAAGCCTGTGCCTGCCAGCCAATCGCTTCCTATAGTTCCCCTGGGACTTGGGCCTGCTGCATCCAAAAAAGCTTCCTGAGCCCCCACAAACACCCGTCTCGTTGCCTCACCACCCCCACCCCTTCACATTTTGAGCTGGGGGTGGTGGCTGCTGTGCTCGATGCCACTGACAGAGTGGGACAGGCAAGCCCCAAGGTGCTTCCGCTTAGAGCGAGGACTTGAGAGCTGGGTCTGGTCCTTGGGACAGCACCAAGCACCTCAGGTTAAGCCAACCACCACCCAGTCTCCTGGCTCCAAAAGAAATTCAAATAAAATTAAATTAAAAATAAAATAAAATAAAGTAAAATAAAATTAAGTAAGAAAAAAAGGGGTGCCTGGCTGGCTCAGTCAGCAGAGCATACAACTCTTGATCTTGAGGTTATAAGTTTGAACCCCACATGGGTGTACAGATTACTTAAAATCAAATAAAATCTTAAACAAGCAAACAGAAACCAAAGGAAATTCAGGGAGTATGTCTGTTGCCCCCTCTGATATTATCAGGTAGGTCCTTCCTCAGGAAACTCCAGCTTGCCTTTGGCTACACAGGAACCCTGGGCTGTCCTCTGGGGTCACCTCGAGCCCCTCTCTAGCTCTGCGGCTGCCTGAGCCCCTCAGTGGGGACAAGAGGGTGTGGGCCACGGCAGCTCTTCTCTGCCACCTGGGGTCTCTCTGCCTTGCCACTCGGCCTGAGTTCTCCCAGTTGTAAGATGAGACGATTGAACACTACGGTTTGGTCTCTACTTAGGTGTGGCCTAGACCAGAGGCCCTCCTGGGATGTGTCTTCCACTGACAGACACAAACTGAACACTAGTCAATTCCAATGGCATTCAGAACAGAATGCTCCAGAAAATCATTTCTGGCAGGCTGATAAGACCTGTAGAGGGGCACCTGGGTGGCTCAGTTGGTTGAGCATCCAGCTTCGGCTCAGGTCATGATCTCATGGTTCGTGGGTTCGGGCCCCGCGTTGGGCTCTGTGCTGACAGCTAGCTCAGAGCCTGGAGCCTGTTTCAGATTCTGTACCTCCCTCTCTCTCTGACCCTCCCCTGCTCATGCTGTTTCTCTCTCTCAGAAATAAATAAAACATTAAAAAAAAAAATAAAAAAAGACGACCTGTAGAAGGATGGCATCTAAACTGGCCTTAAAAAATAAATAGGACTTCTGATTTCCTTTGTTATGAGGACAGGGTCCTGTCAGGGTTGTGGGGCCAACCCCTGCCTGGCTAAGAATAAGGGCTGGATCTTAGTCATGGATGCTGCAAATCTGGGGCTGGGTAAATCTGGGTGAAAGCAGGCAGGGGGCTCAGGGCCACCTGTGAGTGCACATTCTTCAGAAGGTGTGGCCTGGATCAGAGGTCTTCCTGGACTGGGAAGGCAGAGCTCCCTACAGCCCTTCCTGGGGCTCAGACACAGCCCCATGTGGTTAGTTTAAGGAGTGATGCTATTTGTGGTAATAGGATTTTTACCCAAACACTCCGCAATTGGTAAATTCCTCAAAAATGGGAATAATCATGCTTCAGTATAATCACACTTTGGTAAATGCCCCATATTATTTCAAAGGCACCAGGGACAGTCTGATAGTTAAAGGAATCCATCTTTAGTTTTGTAAAGTGTAGATCTCTTTTATGAAAAGCAAATACTTGCTCATTCACATGTCTCTGGCATCTCTCAAGTGTCTGAAAGTGGGGTGTGAACAGCACCAGGTTCCAGCAAAGGTCCCTCTGGCTGATGAGCGGGCCTGGAGGATCTGTAGAACAGGCTGGATCTGGGGCGCCGGGGCGGCTAGGTTGGTTAAGTATCTGACTCTTGATTTTGGCTCAGGTCATGATCTCAGTTTGTGAGTTCAAGCCCCACATCGGGCTCTGTGCTGGCGGTGCAGAGCCTGCTTGGGATTCTCTCCCATCTCTCTTTCTCCGCCTCTACCCCACTTGCTCTCTCTTTCAAAATAAATAAATACACTTTTAAAAACCCCAGCTAAATCTATAGAACCCAGGAGCCACAGCTCTCTCTGCTCTTAGCCAACAGACCAAGCTGGAAGGAAAGTGCAGTGAGAGAAAGGGGCAGGTATGGAGTCTTCTGGTGACTGCAGATACGACCAACCAGTGTCCTCACCTGCACTGGAAGATTCCCCCTATCCTTTTCTGATCCCTTGGGGGCAAAGTTCCAATTGTATTAAGACCCCGAGAGAATACTTGGCTTTGGTTGATAGTCTTTCACAAACAGGAACTAAAGAACCCAGAGAGGTTGCAGGTTTACAGGGGAGACGTAGACCAGTGGGGGAGCCGTGAGGGTGCCTGAGCCCTAAGTGGCAGGCTCGGTGGGACGCTGTGGGGGAGGGCAGGGTGAAGCTTAGGGCATGAGCACTCCGGGCCCCACCTCCTGTGTGCTAGCAGCCTCCCACGCACCAGTCTCTGGAGAGCCACACTGTGCCCAAAATACCCACAAGAGCCCAAGTGCCCACTTCTGTGTCTGTTGTACTGGTGGGTGGCATCCAGGAAGCTTCTGGGAGGCAGAGACGCCCTGCAGCCTCATCTACTCTCTCACCCCACTGGGACTGTGACTCATTTTCTCTGACAGTTTGATCTGGCTCTGTTTGCCAAACCTATATTCTGGTTTGCTTCATGTCCTGAGGGATTCTGGGAACAAAGCTCCTTCCTTAGCTGGACTCTGACAGTTGGCTCCCAGCAACCGTCCATTCATAGGTGCTGCCAATGGGTGACCCGGACACCCCCTCGAGAAACTTCCCCCTCAGGTTTTCTCTTCTGTAACTCAGAAGTATCAACTCCTGCTGGAAGGTAAATTGAGTGAAGTAATAAATGTGGGAGCTGTCCGGAAAATTGAGAAGTGCTAGAGGAGGGAAAAGGGAGCCCGTGACTAAACAACATGGTAGCTCAGGGCATCGGGGCTGAAGTGCCCCCAACAGCCAGCAGGGGGAGCCCTTCCCAAGCAACCAGAGAAGCCTGGGGGCCTTGGCTTCCCACACCTACCTGGGGCATATCTGGGTCAGGCACAGAAGTCGTACCTGTAGGCTCTGGACACAACCACCCCAACCCCCTGCACTTCCTGGTTGCCCAGTGGAGTCCGGGCAAAGCGATGTGGGCCGGTTCCCAGGGCCCACCTTTCCAGCCTTGGTCAGGCCTGGCCATGCCCCACACTCACCAGTACACCACCACTGTGTGCTTCATGTACTTGAGCAGCTTCTTGGTCTCAAACAGCAGGGGGATATCCAGAATCACATAGCGGTATCCTGGGGAGAAGCCGGGAAACCTACAGTTCAGTTTTGCAAACACTACGTGTTAGGTCCATGAGCAGAGGTGAAGCTGTTGGTCCCCACCACTGAGAGCTCGCTAGCAAGGGGGAGACCTTGCAAGGGTAGGCATAACCCGAAAGCTAGCCGGTTCCGATGCCATTCGTAACAGAATACTGCAGTCACTCTTGACCAGATGAGCAGGGAAGAGCTTGCGGAAGGGACAGTGTTTGTACCAGCCCTGAAAAGCAGGTGGGACTTTGATACTTGAACATGAGTGTTTGGAGGTGAAGGTTCTAGGAATGGGGAACGGCAAAGCATGCGGAGCAGTGAGGTTCTGCTGCTCTGGCCGTAGAGGCCTTGCATGATAGGCAGTGAAGCTGGTGAGGTGATCGGGGCGTGCCCAGAGGATTGAGTTCGCCTTGACCTTGGACCTAAAGAGTTGTTATTTGTGAGACACAGCCAGAGTTGGAGGAGACTGGGGAGTTTCCAGGAGGAACCTGGCCCTTTCTGCCCTGCTTCACCCATCTTTGCTAAAACAAAAACAAAAACAAAATAACAACAAAAAACCCCAAAACACCAGGGGCAGCTGAGTGGCTCAGTTGGTTAAACATCTGACTTCGGCTCAGGTTCATGGGTTCAAGCCCCGCGTTTCGAATTCTGTGTCTCCCTCTCTCTCTGACCCTCTCCTGCTCACGCTGTCTCTCTCTCAAAAATAAATAAAACGTTATAGAGAAAAAAGACCCAAAACACCAAAACAAAAGTGTGGCTCCCTGCTGAAGAGGGGTCCTGCATGGCGCTCTCTACCAGTTCTTTGTGAGAGGTTCACATGCGGGCAGCAGCCATAGCCCCAAAAGAAAAGAGGCTGCTTTTTGGTGCGACAGGCAGCCTCCAGCCTGAGATGGCAGAGATGGGTCTGGAGGTGGTGGGCGGTTATGACTAATAAAACAGAATGTGCTCCAGTGAGGGAAACGGCTTTGGCTGGCCCTCCCAGTACAATCCAAGGCCAGTCAAGACCCACAGTGGGAGGGCGTGTGCCCAGGCTGCCCACACAGGAACACCATGAACTGCACACTCCCAGTTCCCTCCAGGCCAGTGTCTACTGGGTATGTGCAGGAAGCTGGCGGGGGTCCAGGAGCAGTGCGAGAGAGGGATGGGCGCTGCCTCTGCCCACAGATGCCTGCCTGGCTGGGATGGCCTCCTGCCGCAAACACTTCCAACCACAGAGCCAGACACACGGCACACCAGTTCCAGGGGGGTCGCAGGGAAACTGGTGCTCCAGGTGACGCAGGGAACAGGGGTGACGGCCCAGGCTGCTGGTTTTCCGGTTCCCCAGGATATGGTGCTCAGGAAGCCCAAGGAAAACCTTCAGCTGAACGAGGGGGTTAGGAGAGTGGGCTCTGATGACGCGCTTGGGCTTGCAGCCCCTCCCTCCCCACTTTCCCATGTGACTTTGGGCCCCTTCACAAATCTCATCTGTGAGCGAAGGCTACATCCCTCACGGGGAGTGGTAAGGACCACATGAGCGAAGGCATGTAAGCCACTCAGCGCCTCCTCACCCAGACGTTCCCCAAGTGCTCCATTAATGATGGCTCTTATTACCACCATTCCCTGGAAGAAGGGGGGCCGTTCAGTGCCCCCGTTCCCCTTCCAGCTCAGAACAGGAGCCAAGACCAGACCCTCTCCAGGCCTCTTATCTCCCTTTCCTGCTCTGCCCCCCCTTCCCTCTCCCCCCACTGTCCTTTCTCCTCGGCCCCTCTCTCGGGAGCTCGCGGCCAGCTCTTTGGTTCACCGGCAAAGGGCTATTCAGCTGTCACATCCCTCCTGCTTGATAAGCTCTGCAAACTATCCTGACTCTATTAAGACATCCGTCTGCCTACACAGAGACCTCCCCAACAGCTGGTGATCTTATCTGACGTTTGATTATACCAACTTTGACAGTTGTATTTGTTATACTCATCAGGGAAAAACTGGGACTGTGGAAGCCACAGCTGTCATCCCCATTTTTCACCTTATCGAGCTGAAAAGAGCTTTCTGGCTTTTATTTAAGTGGTGGTGGTTGGGGAGAGGGGAGGCTGGGTGGATGACACAGCAGGGGAACTTTGGAGCGGGTGACATTATCCGATGCTTAATTTCAGAAGGGGAGAGCCGCCACGGCCTCAAAGCCCTGCAGATGTACTTGCAACTGGCCGGGGAGCGAATGCAAAAGGGCAGGATTGAAAGGCAGAAGGCCTCGCTCCTGGGTGGTGGACAGGCTTCGCAGACGCAAGAAGCAGGACAAAGGCAGAAGGAGTCCAGAGACTCCCCTTGACGGGGGAAGGAGGGAGGCCTGCGGCAAGGTGCAGAGATGCAGAGCAAGCTGGTCCAGCAGGGAGAAGGCCTGGAGCCCACCCTCACCCCGGCCAGGGCAGGGGAAAAGGGGTAGGGGTGGGGGTGGGGGTGAGCAACATTATGGATGTCTGTCATCTCTTTCCTTCTGAAGGGAGGTATGGGCCAGAGGAAGTTGGAACTTCTCCCTACCCTACATGAGAACTTGATGCACAAGAGAATAAAATAAGGTGTTTGGCCAAGATCATAGTGCAAAAGCCAGGAGAAAACCTAGAAGGCTGCCCCATACCCTCCAAGAAGGAAATCTCTGCATCGTGATTGATGGTGGGGACACAAGCAGCCAGGCCTTCCACTCCGATGCCGCCCACATTCTGCCAAAGGCCGGTGGGCAGATCTGCAGGGTCCTTCAGCCAGCTTTCCGGCCTGATCTCAAGCCACTGCTCTCTGCTGGCGACTGACCCCATCCTGCATATCAGGTCGCCCCTGCCCAACACCAGCCTGGAGAACAGGCCTGACATCGTGGCTATTGCTTGGGGAAGGCTGATAACCTCCATGAGAAGGCTCCTGCCAACTGAGCACAGACTCTGGCTTTTCGTTCTCCTTTCTTTCAATCCTGGCACGTGTCAGAAACTCTCTCCACCAGGCCCCAGAGGATTATCCCCTGCTTACAACCCCCCACTCTGCACCTGCCCTGGCCATTTGGGACCCTCCCCAGTGTCCAGTCTGCAAGCTTACTTTCCCAGGCAGCCCAACCAGCACCAAAACTGACTTTGACCGTGGTTTATACCGTGCAGTGAGGGACAGGCACTGATGTGAACCCGGTTCCCCTAACAGCTTCTCGAGGTTGGCATTATTATTAGCCTCACTATGGAGAGGACGGGTTGGCTCACTCAACAAAGTCACACAGTTAGACGCTGTGAAGCTAGGACTTAAGCCCCGGTCTCCAGACTCCATTATTCATCAGCTGGTATTACTCCCATCCCTGCCAGAAAAATCAACTTACTTCCTGGGGATCACGGCTCAAAAGCCTCAAGTGTCTCTTCTCATTCAATTGTCAACCTCTTTAAATGCTGAGGGACATATGCACCTTTCCTCGGGGGTTGGCACAGGGCTCTGCGTGGGGGGTGCAAAGGAACAGCGTGAACTTGGCAGCCAGGACAGCCAGCACCTCTCTCCGTGGCCAGCCTTTCTGCAGAGGAGGAGGGCCCTGGCGCTGGAAGGAAAGAGCTCGTTGCACCTGTCCCAGGCCCTGGGTCTTACCTCGGAGGAAGTACTTGAAGGTCTCCTTCATCATTTCCTTGCGGATCTCAGGGTGCGTGATGGTGTTGAGTAGATGCCGCCGGTCGGGCTGGTTGAAGATCAGGTCCCCCAGGACCTTGCGATTGATGTTACCATTCTCCAGCAAGACCTCAGTGCCAAAAGCCTCCACAATGCGCCGGTGGGCAGGGTATCCTGGCTGGACGACTGTGGCATGAGGAGGGGGGCTGGGTCACTCTCCAGGGCCTCCAGGCCAGCCAGAGGCCCCCAAATGACTAGGGGCAAAATGATGGGGGAACCCAGGGGTGCCTCTTTCAGTTGGAGCGAAAACAAAACGAGAGGAGGGAAAGCAGTTAAGGAAGAGAGTGCACAGAACCCCTCATGTTGGTCACAGGGTGAGGTGTAGGAGAGGGGAGAGGAAACGGGGTGGGGAGAGGGGCAGTGTGGGGCAGGGAGCAGGAAATCAGACCGGGCCTGACGGAAAAGGCTGTCCTCTCCTCTGAGGCCTTGAAAGGACTTATAAAAAAGTGAGACAGGGGTGCCTGGGAGGCTCAGTCGGGTCAGCGTCTGACTTCAGCTCAGGTCATGATCTCACAGTTTGTGAGTTTGAGCCCCGTGTCGGGGTCTGTGCTGACAGCGCAAAGCCCAGAGCCTGCTTCCGATTCTGTCTCCCTCTCTCTCTGCCCGTCCCCCACTCCCTCTCCTGCTCTTTCTCTCAAAAACAAACATTAAAAAAAGGTTTTTTTTTAATAAATAAGTTAAAAGGTGAGACAAAGATGAGACAAGATGGCAGAAAGGGGCACAGGGGAGCTGCTGGGCACAGTCCCACCAACTTCCAACTCACCCTGCCGGGCGATGACGTCAACGTCAACCACAGCACAGCCCAGCTGCTGGAATACCTGGATCACCGAGCTCTTGCCTGAGGCGATGCCCCCTGTCAGGCCCACCAGGAACATCTTCCCAGGAAAGAGGAGGCCAGCGAGAATGCAGAGCCGGGAGGCGGGGAATTACCGGAGCAGGGCACGCTTGGCCAGCGGGACGGCCTGCCCTGTGGACGACAGCAGGGCCTGATAAGTGTCACGCCTGCATGACCTAGGGAGAGGGAGGCCCAGGAAGGGAAGAAAGACGCAGCCTGCCCATGCAGAGTGTGGCCTTCTGAGCGTGGGGGAATCTGGGTCCATCCGAAGACAGAAACTGCTTTCAGGACAGGCCTCCAGTAGCCTTTAGAAAACACTCACAAACTAGGTGAACCAACACAGTATAAATTTAGCAGTCAAAACGCTGAGTTGGCAGAACCAGGTCAGGTGCTGCCACGCACAGTGTTTTCTGGAGGTGGTGGTACCCCGCTGCAAGTGAACTTCCCATAGGAAGGGCACACCTGTCCCTCCGTGGCGAACCCAAGGCACCTTCCAGGTGCCCACAGAGCTGCGCCCTCTCTGGCCTCCACTTTATAGTCTGGGACACTGAGGCTCACAGGGTCACAGGGGAAAATGCCCTCCCCCCCCCCAGCGTCCCCCCCCCTCCCCAGCACCAGCACTAAGACCTTCTGGGTGGCTAGTATCGACTGAAAAGAATCCTCCCTCTTCAACCAAGAAGTGGTCCAGACGGGGAGCTCAGCGGAAGCAATGGCTTGGTGGCCATTAGGCCTGAGGTTCAGAGGGTTTGGATCTTGCCCACGAGGGAAGGATGACAGGCTGCGGGAGGGAACTCTGAGCCTGGCCTTGGAACGTGCGGCTCCCTCAGACGGAGCAGCTGCAGCACCGCGGAGGTGAGGTGCACGGGCCTCTTCAGATCTGGTTCCTCCGCTCACAATGCTCTGCAACCCTGAACAGGTGGCCTGTCTCTCGGAACCTCAGTTTTCTTATCCATAAAACAGGAGGGGGGCAGAACCTATCTCACAAGGCTCTTTGCTGACTGAATGAGGAAATGCACACAAAGCCATTTGCACAGTAAGTGTCTTGTAAAGGAATTGAGGATGGAGACATAGGATGGGAGGCAGGGGCTGAAGTCACACTGCGAGGCACAGAGATTAAAAAAGACGTTCATGAAGTTACGTCCCCATTCTTGCAACCTCAGACTATCTCACAAAAGACTTTTTCAAAATAAATGTTTATATATTTTTGAGATTGAGATTGAGAGAGAGAGAGAGAGAGCGAGCGCACAAGCTGGGGAGGGCCAGAGAGAGAGGGAGACAAAAGATCCGAGGCGGGCTCTGTTCTGACACCAGACAGCCTGATGCGGGGCTCGAACTCACAAACCGCGAGATCATGACCTGAGTCAAAGTCAGATGCCTAACCGATGTTCCACCCTGGCACTCCACACAAAAGACATTTTTAAAGCCATGCTGCATTTTTGGGGAGTAAACAGGGTCACCACATCTTGGACTCTGTCCCCAGGCTGAAAGAAATTAAAGTGAAGGCCAGGTCTCTCCCACCCCTCCCTCAGCATCAAATCACTTCTCTAGGACCTTGAAATCTGTCATGGGATTTTTTTTTTTTTTTTTATAATGGCAGATTTACTGTTCTAATTGCACTTTGCTTGAGCTTATACCGAAATGAGTTTGCTTCCCCTGAGGACACACCAAGTGACAGGGGAGACAGCTGCTCGGATGTGGGTGCGGGGGGGACTAGCCCAGAAGTTTAAATCTGCCCAGGCTCGCTCTTCCAAGGCAGCCAGGGGCGGAGAGAAGACAATACCCACCAGAGTCGTCATCCAAATGGAGAGACCTAACTCAGTTATTAAACCATTTATGAAGCAGCTCTCCTCAATCTGGGGCTGGAGTCGCCCCCAGGTGGTCTCCCTCCAGCTTACTTAAAGAAGACTTAAGGACAGGGTTCAGTTGTCAGAAAAAATATTTTGTTCACTCAGCTGAAGCTTTGAAATGGAAAATCCAGCAACAACGGCACTATAATCCCAGCTCTGTGCTGTTGTCCCTAAAGCCGCATGATTGCTTCTCTGCAGAAGGCCAGTCTGAAGGGATGGGAGTGGCACCTGAGGACAGGCGGTGGCTGAGGGAAGGCGGAAGGCCCAATGACCCACTGCCTCTGACCCCCTCATTGCTGAAAACAAGCTACTGTCCCCTAGTCACCCGACTTTGCCAGACATGGCTGAAGGGGCCCAGAAGAGCATGTGACCTCAACTCTTGCTCGTTCACAGGCCCAGGAGACACTCTGTCCCCCTCCCCAGACACACTGGATCACAATCTCTAGCAACTGATGGGCACCCGGGAGGCTCAGTGGTTGGATGTCTGACTCTTGGTTTTGGCTCCAGTCATGGTTTCACGGCTCACTGGGTTTGAGCCCCACAATGGGGTCCAGACTGAGAGCGAGGAGCCTGCTTGGGATTCTCTCTATCCCTTCCTCTCTGCCCCTCCTTCACTTGTGCATGTATGTTCTCTCTCTCAAATAAATAAACTTAAAAAAGAAAAGAAAAGAATCTCTAGCAATGGAGCTTCCTTGGCAGTTCTGCTGCATCACAGGCTTGGGATCGACTCTAACTCTTCATTAAGGACCAGAGAGAGGAAGGGACTCACCCAGGGCCAGGGCTACTAATGGAGCCCTGAATTCCATTCCTACCTCTGGGTCTAGATTCCTGCCTTAACGTACTAAGGGAATGAAAATTTAATTTATCTTTAGACTTAGACAAAATAAGGACAGTGAATATGGCTATATGCAGATTAATTCAGAGCCAAAGAAAGATGATGTCTAGATGACCATACTGGTGCTCTCCCTCTGCAGACCGGCGTGACGTCTTACGGAAGCCACCAGAGCAGAGATGCAAATTCCGGGCTCTGCTCTGTCCCGGATTCCCGGGGCAACCTAATGAATTTCTTCCCTTCTCTGAGCCTCGGATGACCATCTGTGGAAACAGACCAACAGCTGCTTGGCCTCTGTCAGGAAGGCCAAGGAGATGGAGGAGCACATGCTGGGGAGGCCGTGGACCCCTGGCTGAAGGGGGACGGGCCAAATAACAGCTGTTATAGTCCAATAAGCCCCTCTGAACTCCTTCCTTCATCAAGCGCGGCCTGAGCGCCTCTGTGCTTTGCAGCTCTGCACCTGGGACTCCCAGGTAACCGAAGGAGAACTTAGGTCTTGCCTCTCGGGAACACTGGAGGGAGAGACAATAACAAATGGAACCAGCCAGGAAGGACAGAGCACCAACAGGTGAGCCAGGGCAGTCAAGTGGTACTCCCCCTGGAGGGAGATGCAGCGAGCAAGGGGCCAGTCCCCCTCCAGGCTGAGCCAGGAGGAAAACAAGGCTGAAGTTTCAACGGACTCTGAGTCTCACCCAGAACCATCTGGTAGCTCCTTTCCAGGCACCCAGGGACAAGTGACCACCTCTTTTCCCTCTTCCTGCTCTGGCTCACAAGTGCTTCTCCAGAATCCACTTATTTCCCCTCCTTCCACTGCCATTCACACGCAGGCAGCGGGAACCTCACAGCAGCTCCTAAGCCTGGTCCTGATCTGAATCCCCTGTGGAACTTCAGAAAAGGTCCAGAAACCCAGGCTCCACCCTAGCATCCCTGGCAGCTGGGCACCAGAACCGCTGCTGAAATGGAAGGTCATAGACTGGATGTTGAGAAGCCCGGGTCCCAGCCCCTCTGCACTCTGCCACAGAGCTGTGTGACTGCCGGAAGCCTTCCAATCAGCCTGGCCCAGACTGCAGACCCCACCTCCGTAAATAACAAACAACCGATTCCCCAAAAGTCTGCCCCTGCCTGAGCCTCAGTGTCCACACCTATAAGAAAGGGGCCGATGCTGACAGGGCATCAGCCCCAAGGGACGCTGTTGGGCATGCTGGGGCTCTCTTTCTCCGTTCTGTGGTTCAGCACTTCCCAGAGCTGTCAAGAGATGCCCGCCTGGGTGACCAATGACTGACAAGACCGCTGGTGGCCTGGGAACCCTCCTCCTCAAAACCAAAAGCTGTTCCCAGAGCTGGCTTGGCTGGAGGAGGAAGGACGACACTGAGTCCCATGGTAACAGAGAAAAGCTGATGCCTAGTACGAGAAAAATGGAAGCTGGATTCTGGGAAGTAATCCCAGTCCTGCATTCACGAGCCAAGGCGGGACTCCAGGCCCGGGGTGGGGGGGCCACATCCAAGTCCTTTCTTCTCCCTTATTCTCCCTGTCCGGAGAAGGGCAGCAGGGTGTAAAGAAAAGGGTCATGGAGGTGGGGTCTGCACCCTGTGAAGTGAGGATCGAATTCTGTGCTCCGTAAGTGGGGGAGGGGTCCCTTCCATTGAGGTTCCCCAAGCCTGCCTTTCATTTTTTACCTCTTGGGCCCCAACGGCCCAGAGAAGATGAAGAAAAAACATTCAAGGAGGAATAGTCTTGGGGCCCCTGGCTGGATCGGTCAGGGGAGCATGTAACTCTTGGTCTCAGGGTTGTGGGTTCAAGCCCCACATTGGGTATAGAGAATACTTAAAAATGAAATCTTTTTTTTTTCTTTTAAAGTCTGTCTTAGAATCTTCTCTGGGAGTGTTTCTTAGGGAAAAATGAGAGTGGGCTGCTGGCTACTCCATGGGCCTCCAGACCCAAAACCCCATGGCCCTGTGCTGCCTCCACAGGACCCACCCTATGAACCTAAGTCCCATCACCCTGCGCCCAGACCTCTGCAGTGGCCTCTTGACTTGACCCTCTAGTCCCCTGCCTGGCTTCTCCCAAGGTGGCCAGGGTCAAGGCTTAAAGTGGACTTTTAATCACGTCACTTAAAACCTTTGGGACGCCTGGGTGACTCAGTTGGTTAAGCGTCTGACTCTTGATTTGGGCTCAGGCCGTGATCTCATGGTCGTGGGATTGAGCATCATGCTGGGCTCCGAGCAGACAGTTCCAAGCCTGCTTGGGACTCTCTCTCTCTCCCTCTCTCTGCCCCTCCTCAACTCGTGCTTGCTAGCTCGCTCTCTCTCAAAATAAACAAATACGCTTAAAAAAAAGAAAACCCTTCACTGCCCTCTTCCGTCTCCTCCTAGCCTGCTAGCTTTGACCTCTCTGCCCCCACCCCCACCCCGTCAGGGAACCTGCTGCACGCCTGTCTTCTGTCCCTGACCGCA